AGATGGCAAGGGCGGGCAAGGGCGCCGCCACTGCACCCCAGTCCACACAGCTCGGCCCTCCGCACACCACGCGTACCTACCCCCACAACGCGCACAGCGTCGCCACGCCGCCACCACGTGCGGGGTATTGCGACTCAAGAACATCGTGCCCGGAGATCTTCATCATGGCCCTCAAAATTCAAACGGTGGAGCATTCCTAGATGACAAATCCAGAAGCAAGGCATCGCTTGCGAGGCTGGCGTTTGAACAAAGTCGTTGTTGCCTTCAGTGGCCAGCGCTAACGGTAGACATCACACAGCGGGGTGCAGCACAAGGGCGCCACCGCCAGGCCCCTTCCCGTGTGTGCGCGTCATGGGTCTGCGCTTGAGTTTGAGCAGGATCAATCCTCCGACGATCTCGAGGATGGCCATCAATTCGATGCTGGCCGACGAGTCCGATGGCAAGTCTGATGGAAACCTTGCTCTTAGGACAAGGTTGCGAGCTCTTCAGTGAGAACACGTCGCCTTAACCCTGCAAATGCTGGACAGCGTTGAGCCGGCCTATGTCTCGATCGGATTGCAAGGTCGGTGCCTAGTGGCATCGATGCAGGGAGCCAGCCCTCGGCAACTGACAGGGCTGGCCTGCAGTCGAAACGGGGTGCGGCGCCACGTCGTGACGTTGGGTGGCACCCTGCAACAGAAGGGGTGATCGCAACCCAGGGACACTTGCTACTAGGGCATGTCCACACTTTGCTGCAATTGGCCTTGCTACAATACTGATGTGCAGTGGCATTGATGCAACATTGCTTGAAAATGCACCAACCAGCCCTGATGCGATGTTGGCAAGCTGTACTATTGATTCAATGTTGCAGCAACGTTGATGGGGTGGTAGTGCGCCAGCAATATTGCCGCAATGTTGCCGAAAGACACGTTGCTGGGTTGTTGACGAACCCCGGCGTTCGGGAGCCGTTGCTCCATGGGCATTGCCTCAACATTGTTGGTCGTTGCTTCAATGACCCCGTTGCATCAAGCCCCATCAACATTGCATCAACGCCTACCGAATTTCCAGATGAGAACCAGTTCCCTGTTTCAAAATTGTGATGTTCTGCGCTGAAATATTTTGGTTCATCACGTGGCGCAGAAGATGGGTTCTTGGATGTGGAATGCATGTACTGCTGCGCCATCCTACGGCTGCCTAAAACCACAGCGCTGCATAATCTTCCGGCGAATGATTGGATATTTCCTGAATGTTGTAAAAAAGGAGTTCAATAGTTTGATTCAGTAGTTTATGGTCACGAAATACTACAGTTGCTGCAGAGACCGCAGGAGATCGCTTGATGAGCTGATCAGCCCCAATCATGATTGGGCTGAAGAACCACCTCTGTCCAGCCAGGGCAGTCCAGGAACGCCAGGTCAGGCTGTATTTTGGAATTCCTGCCCTGCCGACCCCGCACAGGGGGGATATATGCCCACGGGGGAGAGCGACAGGTAAAGGCAAACGGGTTTGATTCGTTTGACTACAACTAGTCCGTCCAAACCACCACGATTTCCGCGCCTTTGGTGCACCAGGGCTGGCTGGGTATTTCGACAATGAACCCAAACTGTTGTCCGCAAAAAGGACAACAGGGCTGCCCTATTTAGTTGCGCAAACTGGATGCCAGGTGTGGCAGCTTGACCGCCACTGCGCTGACGCGGCTGATTGTCCTGAGTGGACCGTCGCCACGCCACGGTGCCTGATCAATTGGAACCGAAGAGCGATCGCAAGGCAGGACTACTTAAACGGGGCGTCGGTTTGGCCACCCAGTCTGTTGCGGATTCGCGGAGAGTCTTTGACCTGCGCAGCGCACCCGCAGCACGCAGCCATGCGACCCTTCGAGCTCGTCTTCGTGCTTTCGTGCGCCGCGCTGGCGACCAGCGTCGGCGCCACGTGGATCAAGCCGCTCGTGGTTGAGGGCGTGTGCCCCGCGGAGGACAACAAGGTGGCCACGGTGGGCGACAGCTGCGGCGTGCCCGATTTCGTCGACCTGGATGAGTTCGGCGACAACATGGACACCACGGGGGTGATGTTTCTGCGGCCGACGTCCAGGGGGATGAGGCTTTTCATCAAGCTGGACAACCTGCCCAAGCCGGATCTCGTGCTGACGGCCTGGCTGATCTGGACCCCGTTCGGGACCACGGAGCCGCCAGTCTTCAAAGTGGCAATGCACGCGTCGCCGTGCGCGCCCTTCGACGCGCCGTTCGGCTCTGGCCTGTCGCGCGAGCCCAACCAGCTGACCTACACGTCTTACGATTCCGCGGAACTTGTCGTGGAACTGAATTTCAATCCAACCTTCCCCGATCAGGGCCCTCTGATTCGGCTGGCGCCCTGCTTCCAGAAGGACGTGCCTGGCATTCAAGACACGGATCTGGTGCAGATCCCGACGCCTGACGGCGCTTTCATTCCGACCAGCAGCGACTACCTGCGCATGTACGATCCTACAACGGGTTTCGAGGCGCTTGGGGCGGACGGCAGGCCGCTGGTGGCGCGCAGCCCAACGAGGGCTGTCGGCGTCGAAGTCATCGCGCACAACGACAGGACCACCCACGGCGTGTCGCCGGGCGCCCCCAACGTGGATCACTACCTGACCATATTCTTCCCGTTGCCGGCGAACGTGGGAGGGCAGGGAGGCGCGCGGGGCTGAGAGGGGCCGCGGGCCGTGTTAAAAAAAGTGAGGTGTCTGGTGTGAGTCTCGGGCCCAGCGCCGGAATATGCTTGTCCCTGTGGGGTTTGTGGTTGGGAGGCGTGCACGTGTGCCGCCAAGGCGGATTTGATTGGGCTTGATCCTGGATAGTCAGCGGGGTAGGGCGGTGTGGAGACGATTCACTGGTAGAAAGGACGCGAGGTGGCACAACGGTATCTGTAAGTGGGGTCCCTTTCTCACAAGTTTCGTCCCCTTGTTGCGTGACTGATTCGCTCCGGCGTGCAGCGCGGTTACGTAACCTTCCGAGGCTTCGCCGATCAGAGTCGGGTGCACGAGTGGCGCAGGGGTTTTGGATCTTCGCGTTAATTGAATGATCTCCAATGTTCGAAGTATGAAGTCGTGTATTGCTATGGAGAATTGGCGTCAAGCCAAGAAGCGGCCGCGATCGCAACTCGAACTCCCTGGACAATTGCCTCGAGCGTTGAGCTTCCAGGAGGCCATTCGCAGATGGGGAGAAGTAATTTCACACCTTGGCGGCTCCCGTGGAGGCAGTCCGCACAGATAATGATGCATTGGGAACTGTGTTGCCATGAGGCCCGCTGTCCACAGTTCTTGTCCGTTGCCCCTGGTAAGCACTTCCGAATATCGTGCTGGCCCATAGGCGACAGACCTCGCTGCCAGGGTTCCCATTTATGCGCAGTCGCAAACAGACTATGATGTGTCGTAGATGCATCAATCGACGCGAGGTCAACAACGCCAGAGTTTCCTCAACCGCATTTCTATACGAGACAGAGTTTGCAGGTGATGGGGTTAGAGAGGATACAAGAATGCTGTGAACAATCACCGCGCACCAATGCACAAAGCCAATTGCACAATATTGGACATGCGAACGCCGCTGATGCCTCACAACAAATTGTTGGTTCCATCAACGTGCGCAACATACGCATTGGGAGTGGGTTCAAATTCGTTGGTGCTAATACCATTAAGATAAGGCCACAAATCTCTGCTCACACAAAGACTGGTGCATGGCATCACCCAATGGATCTCCGTGGACCTTGTTGGACCAGTGTGCCCAAGAGCTGATGAGTGCTCCTTGTGCAATGGAGAATGGCCCGCCAAGTTGATGCCGAGCTGCATGCCGCAAATCGATCAAATGCAGCTTAAAAACGCTCAGTACGCAGTATCCAATTTATTCGCCCGCGCTCGCTTGGCCTCCGGGGCCCAAATGAAAGGACTGTCGATGGGCCATGGGTTATCAATTGTGGCACCATTGGAAAACGAAATCCTTGACTTCGGCAAAGGGTTGCGCCGTTGCCAAATGTGAAATCGTATTGAGGGTGCTCATGTTTGGACAAGCATTGATGGATATGATGCGCAATTGTGCTGACGAGGTCGAGCGAAACGCATTCAAGAATTTAACATCAAATGAAGCTATTAACATGGCGAATGCTGCAGTTGGTAGTCACCAGCATTGAGGCATTCTTGGAAGCCATATATACAGTGAGAAGAACGCACCAACTACCGGTGGCTCGGTGGCACGTTGCAACGGCACTCCAGGCGCCCAGCAGCCTCACCGAGGGGTGAAGACCTCACGGCCGCAGCTGCTCGATTTCGCCTCGTGGTTCGCCATGGAAATCTTCACGAAGCCAAATGACATTCAGCAGGATTCCATGGCGATGCGTGTCAGAGAAGTCAGAAAGAAGCCTGGGAGAAAACTATTCTGATTGACAGATTTTCAATAATTTCTATGTATCCATAACAGTTGATATATTTGGGTTGCATTCTGTGAATCACTGCTTGGAGCTTCGGCTTCGCATTTGAGCCAGTGACTCCTTAGCCGGCTGGCTGACTACTTGGCTGGTTGTCTGTCTGGATGAGTAGTCGTGGTATTGGACATCGAAGCAATGCTTTGTACATGAAACTTTACATGCTGAGGAAAATCTGCTCGTCAGTCCATTCTAACCTATGTGTCCTGCTATGTGACTGAAAAGATGCATTTTGAAAAAAGGCAGGGACATGGAACATATTAGGTGACACAAAACATGCTTGAGGTGTCCACGCACCAGTGCTTTTAAGCAAACTTACGCTCAAGGCCACACAACGCGCACGGAAACTAGCTCCCGAGACACGCATGTCTCGCCCACGCTTTTGAATCCCATCAATCAAATCCCCTTTAAATACGGCAATCAATCGGCTGAAGCCCGACTGTGGAATGCTCAAGAACTACTCTATTCCATGCATGGACCCGCAACTGAAACACAAATCTATCGTGACTTGCCGTTGCCAGCATGCAAAGCGTTCCAACGCAACAAATGCTACGTCATCATTGCGCCAGCATGCGTCAGCACACCAACAGTTCTTTCATGGCTGGTATATCCACCTTGCGTTCGCCACAGCCGCTTTTGCAAATGTATTCACATGGAATTCTTCCTCTGTTATCTGCAAGAGTGACATTGGCGCCTTCCTCCACGAGCCGCGTGGCGACGGCCAGGTGGACCTTCGTGGCGGCGACGTGCAACGGCGTCTTGCCTTCTGAATCCTGGGCGTTGATGCTAGCATTGTAGCTCAGCAACACGTCCACAACGTCAGTGGTCTTATATGTTGCCCCCTCGTGAAGGGGCGTCACGCCAGCAATGTCGGGCTCATTCACATCGGCCTCCGCGCCAGCAAGGGCCTCCACGGCAGCAGATCTACCGTTGAAAGCAGCGACGAAAAGAGGAGTACGCATCTCCACGGGTGTCTTAGCTTCGATGTGAGCCCCTGGTTCGGCCGAACACTCTTTTTCAAAGTGTGGCTTATGAACGCACTGTTTCCGTTGCATTGACCAAATTTGTTTGAAACGGTACAACTCCGTCCAAAAGCCTATTTCTTCATCAGCAAGGCACCGCCCGCCCTGTTTTTTTGAACCTCGTTCACAGTGCGTTGCACGAAGCACATTCGTTCGTTCATGTGACATATCCTACGGTGCAGTACGAAAGAATTAAAGGGTGTGCTGGGGACACTTGCGGGGAACCGACCCACCGTATATGGATGTATCAACAGTCCCAAGTTTCAGATCCGCTGTTTGGCCACAGCAACGATAATTGCATCGCTCTGTAAGCGCCATGCAAGCAGCGGGTGCTAGCCATGTGCAACAAAGCCTTCCTTAGAGGGCCTACAGCACATGCTGTACTGAGAGGGCGGCAGCAGAGTCTTGAGCCAAACACAAATGCTGATATGCAGGGATATTATACTTCTCAGTTGCAAACGTTTCCACTGTATTGTGCTCATATTTTGAAGGAAATGCTCATTTCTCAGCGCGTCGTTTCACTCCGCTATGGCAATCGCCCTTGCATTGCCTCTGCTCACCTTTGTCAATGAGCACATTGATGGCCCGCACGATCCCCCACCGTGCAGCGATGTGCAGCGGCGTGTACCCTTGCTCCGTGGCGGCGTTCACGTCAGAGTCCCCGAAGATGAGACACTCCACCACCTGGGGCTCCGTGTTGAAGGTCTCGCTGGCATAATGCAGCAGAGTCCAACCCGATGGAAACAACGCCAATGTGCAGCACTGGCCGTCCTTCAGGCTTGCGTACACCAGTTCGGCGCTACTGTCCGGCGCTCTCAACGCATCCTTCACTTCCTAGGTGACGTGTAAAAGATTGCGCACATTTCACTGCCTTGCAGTTGAAGGCTATGAATATTGCCTTGGCGCCCAGCAGGCAACATCGATGTCCAGTGGTGTTTGAACCATTCTTTGCGGCTTTGAGCGGTTGAATTCGCAAATGATCGAGCTTTGAATATGGTCGGAATCTTAAATGACATTATTATCTAGTCAAGTGCGCACCGGAGAATTGTTCGAAAATTGTCCAGGCAAACACTTATTCAGAAGCATCAACTTGGAGGACATGATTCTGCGCAACCAGCACAGCAGCACATGCCACAGGTCAATTCGCGTAGACTGTGCGCAGTCTGAATGGAAGCAGCTGCTCTGGGTCTGTCTGTTGTAAGGCTAGATCTAAACACTCACCTGGCAATCTTTCTCCGAAGGGGCTTGCCCACAGGTGCCAGGATCCAGGGGACACCCTTCAGGTTTAAGGGGCTCCACTATCTGCTCCTGAGGGATCCAATAATCGCAAATCAATAACAGCGTGTGCCCATGTTGTACAAGAAATTCTGCAGCGGTATCGTCGGAATATCACAATCCGACATGAAGTTCCCATGATGGGAGGACTTCATGCAGTGGCCCACCAATGTCGTGGCACACCTTGATGCCGACACAAGATAGCGCCCTATCACAAGTTGGCCACAAATGCATTGGGACAACCGGCATTACATTCTTCACCTTTGCGCCACCCTCAAAGGTGAAAGCTACGGGTGTGTGGCTATTTGAGCAGCTGTGCGGATAACAGAATTTGGCAACATGCCTGCAAAAGAACTTGAGAAAGTTTACAAAGCTCGATCATTGCCTTCAAATTTGTATTCAATCCCTGCTCTATTTACAACAACACTTGGTGCAATTCAAACTACATGCACGCGTCAGCCTGGGCTACTTCATCAAGGGGACAAGGTACACTGTGTGCAGTGAACTTGGAAAGATGGCCATCCATAGGGGTGGCCACATCGCCATGAGCCGACACCGATAGCGAGCAAGAACACATGTGGAATGCTGCAAAAGCAGCGCATGAGGCATACCGGCTGTTGTATTGTCTCATCGATCCAGGCACGGAAGCTGGACACTTTTGTGTACACTCCAGGATTGTTCATCTCACACAAAGAGACATTGGAAAATGATATGATGCCAACTAGAAGATCTCTAGCAGGCACTCCAGCAGTCACATTTTGCCCAGGAGCATCAGCCATCAGCAAGGGACCTCCGCTGTCGCCTGAGGAGCATAAGCAAGGTTGTCAACAATGGCTTTACCAGCCAAATACAGTTGGTCTCGGCCCAAAGCAAATACAGTGGATAAAGCTTCAAAATTGAGGATGGCCGAGTGCTCGAGTGTGCGCGCGTATTTCACAGGACAGATGGACCAATTAATTGAATATTCAGTTATAACAGTGCAATTTTGTGGATTGAATCCATCTTCTTGAAGCAGCAAAAGTTCTCAGTAACTGAAGTGCACTCTTAGGGCCCCAGTACGTGTCGAAAGGGTGAACATCACCCCGCTGGATAAGATGTGCAACCATAGTGAATCAAAACTGCCCCTCTTGCGTCCGAGCAACTATGACGACCCGCCTACCGGATGCAACACCTGACGACAGATCGACAACGGACACGTGAAAAGGCAAACGACAGTAGCAATGTGCATTACGTAATCCAAACCAATGACTGTTTTTGTGCTTAGTAGAAGATGTCATTGCCAGGCTTGTCGCTCATTGGGAACATGGCTTTGGATACCATGTCCTTCAGAATTGTCCCGGTGAAGAACGAACACAACCAGTGCAGCTCTCGCTGGTGGGTAATACAGTGGTGCTGTGGACGCAGCTGCAAACACATGCAAATGCTGCATGGCCATATTCACAGTTCTTCACATACTGTTGGGCGCATCCCCATGCAATTAACAAGGTATTGAGTAGCAATGCAGCGTTTCGCATACACCGTACATCCAGCAACGGTTGTGCAGCATCCACAAAACGAATTGTTTTCGCACCCTTGCAGACGCTCTGGTCGCTCACGGTGCACACCATGGCGTCTTGGATGAAAATGTTAGGTGCCCAAATATTGCGGCAGGTTTCCAGTTCCAAAAATTGCATACGGTCGGCGTGTTGGAGGTGGTTGCTCTTTGAGCACTTGGATCCTTGCCCTCCCCAGCCAGCTGCGACCAACAATCTGCCAGTTTTGATATCATTGTCATTCAAGAGCTGAACGGGCTGGATTTTTGATGGCTCAGGCAGCTTTATAAGGGCCAGGTCGTTCCCGTCATCCAGACGTCCAGTCCAATTGGGGTGTATCTTGATGCCCTTATCTGCTGGCTGTAGGTGTATCTACAAAAGCACGCCGCAAAAATCAGCGCGAAATCTGAACAGCAGGTTTTGGCTCAACACTGAACCAAGGTAAAGTTGGGGATGCAGGTGCCAACTATGGCAGCCGCATTCCATACACACAGAGACACAAGTGCACGCCACGCATGCACGCAAACGTGCACATGGTCTAGTCGATTTGGCAAGCGGCAATGAGCACACAAGTACAGTTACGAACACCCTGCAAGGATGCTGTGCACCGCTCCCGTGGCAAGCTTGATAAGGAATCAACAGCGAAGACTGTGGACACCTTTCCCTTTTCGGGCAAAAGCTCGCAATTTATGTTTGCAGCACCATTCTAGCTCTTACGTTGTATTACATGTCAGCAAAGAAGTGACTAATTTTACGGCTATATTCTTGTTTAGTTCCAGCGCATTGAGGAATCCAGGTCACATGCCAATGCGCAAACACTCAGTTCTCCGCTTAACCTAGCACCCCCAACATAGCGTCCAACTCGCACTGGACAGGGGCAATGACATCGCCGAACGAAAGGTCCTTTATTGCCCGCTGCAGCGTGTCTGGATCCCACTCCACGGACTTCCCTGAGTCTTAATGTAATGCCTTTATGTAGACTGGGCATGTGTTTACGCATTTTACGTGTTTTTGGGCGTAAAACGTAGATAATATCTTGCACATATTAAGCAAATACATGCTACGTTATCGATTGTCGCACAGCAATCTTATGACAGGACACATCGGAATTTCTGCACATTGTATATTTGCAGGCACAAACTTCGCTGCCAGTCCATCTTGGCCGCTACTGGCACATGGCATTGTCACATATGACTGGTGTTTGTTCCTGAAAGCGACAGCCGCAATGCTTGCATCATTGTTTGCTGGTGAACAGATGCACATTTTACCTTGATGTTGATTATATCAGACAGTGCAAAAAGCCAACTTTTCAGATACTGTTTGTAGTTTTCTGGTCATCTTTATCGAGCTGAAAAGTACAATCTTACCTCGACTGAATCATCTCCATTCCCATCGCCAAGAATACATGCCCCAACCACTATTCGGGGGATGTCCACGAAGTCCATACAATGTGCAGCCGTCAATACCCACTCAGGATGAATCAATACACCTCCACACAGGTGCACATTATCAGGATCCTGGATAGATGCCATGAATGTATATCTGCCACATGGTGCAAACTTTCCCTGCAGCATGTACCCCAAAGCCCCAAGCTTCAACACTTCAGTTCTCAGTCGCAACTACTCCCGTGCAGGACCGACCATGCAATCTGTGGGGTGCAAGAAGCTGAACATGCTGCACGCTTGGTGAGCGGCAGCATAGTGGCTGTGTGCATTCTCAAGCCACAGCAATACTGCATCACATATGTCGCAACTCTTCAATGGTTCAGAGCTGCAGCACATGGGGCAGGCAAAAGCATGTGCAGCAGGTTGTATAGCATGTTGTTGTCTCATCTGACAGCTGCTTTTCTGCTGCGCGTGCTGACTGAATCAACCATTGGCAGCTAATGCAGTATGCCATGGCCAAGCGGTTTCATGTTGAAGGCTTCAAGTTGGCTAGACAATGGAGATCATTGTGGTTCAGCAATTGCTGCTGACACTAATTAATCATATACACAATCGTCAATTCTTTTACCAGGTGCACAGGCTGTGTTTCGTCATTTTGAGACAAATGCAATCCATGGATTTTGCTGATGATATTCATCCGCACAAAAGGTGTTGAATGGCATGGTCCTGCTCACAACAGGACGAGTTGTATATGCCTCGTATATACATGTAGCTGCCAGCTGGCAGCAACTGCAACACTGTCCACCGCATGGACAAATGCTGAATTCCCCTTGCTGTGCTCAGCATCTCGAGATGGGCTGCCACGCTGAAAAGGATGGCTGCAGCCGTCACTGGTACTTGCAGCAAGAAGTATTTGGGAATGCATTTGACTTACTCCTATTATTTTTATGCAGTGATCCTGCAGCAGTCTTCTACTCCCATCTTGTCTCTGAGTCTCGGAATAAAAATCTGCACCTGCGACCAAGCACCTCGTTCAGCAGCGTGCTCAGACAAAAAGAGCCGTGGTCTGCCAACCCAAGCCCTCAAGTGCATACCCCCTCACGAAGCGGGCATAAATACGTTCCTAAACTGAAATTACAGCGGAGTGCCTCCACAATTGATTACGTGGCTCTGGTTTCCTTGCACATGACCCCCAACAAGGGTCGCTGACACGAAGTGTTGGATATCATCCCCCCGGGTTGCGTAATCGGGGTGCATTTTGTCCACACGACGGACAATGATGAATAATCGTCCACCAATCACCGGGCAGAACGCCTCGACGGGAGCCTCGCCGGACTCCGCATGGCAATTAGGACAACCCGCGCTCGCGAAGATGGATGACCAACTTCGCACGCCCCCTTCCCGGCCACAGGCGACCGGGCTTCTCGCCCGCGCAGCAGCCAACGGCACAACACCTCGAGCCCCCCACTCTACGAAATCTCTTTCCCGTCACCACACCAGTCCTCGAGCTGCCCTGTGGGCCCCTCCCCGGCCTCATCGCCTCGCGTCCCGCGGCGCACCAACCCAGGCGACCTCGCCCCACTCCGGGCCTCCCCACCCCCGCGTGCCGCCGGCCCCCCGCGTCGTTTCTGGGGACGTTCGCCGCCGCTCGATGAGCCAAACTCGCGCGTTCGCCGCGCCCAAGAGCACGCCCCCACGCAACCTCGACAGAGGCTCAGAACATGGACGACAGAGGCAGCGATCACGGCGCGTCGCTGACACCCAGAAACGGCAGGAGGCAATCAAGGATATTTCTCGCTCCGTAAGTCTTTGGGGGGGGGGGGCTGCCGTCCCTGCTGAATGCGGCCCGCCCGGAAGCTCTCAGGGTGCAACCTCGCCTTAGTTGGGAAGCAGGGTCCGATAGCCGGGCCGGGATCCGTACCTCTTTGGGTGGCGTCCCTTCGAAAGTGATTCGGCGTTTGAAAGGACTTGGGCGCTGCCCGGACCGATGGCGCGGGCGAGGTGATCGCCAGGAGCGCCAAGGCCCACAAGAGCGCCGCCATGCCGACTGCAACCGCGACGGAGGCAGCGAAGTCCGGTGACTTGACGGCTGGCCTACAGTGACTTGCTGTGCCTGCCCCGGGTGGGCTCGGATGGAAGTGGGGCGACTGCGGACCATATCAGCAGTGCGAACAGAGGCTAACGGGACGGTCCTACACCATCACCAGTCTCGATGTGGGTTCCGCGTGGCTGGGTCCTCTCACCGTCAAGTGCACTGAAATGCTGTCTCATCAGCAGTCCTTCTCGCATGTGCCCCATTAATAATGCGATATCGCAGAATGACGGGCCGGGGCCTGTCCGGATTGAACCGGCCAACCCGGACACAGTCAGCCACCGGCGCCGCCCGTCCGACCAGCCGCTCCGCCACCCGCTCCACCTTCCGCGCCAGGTCGAGGCGCCCTCCTCGCCGGTGTCCTCAAGGCCACGAAGGCAGAGCTGCCGCCGGCGAAGCTCCGCCTGGAGCTCCAGCAGCTCGTCCAGGCGGGCAGGCCGAACGGACGCGGCGGCATGCGAACGTCGGCGCGCATCCAGAGGATCGGGAGGTGGGGGGAGGCGGCCGGACCGCGGAACCAGCGAGCCGCGAGGCGGCGAGTTTGGAGCGGGAATGGTCGGATGAAACGGCGCAGCCTCCGCCAGGGGGCGTTTCACCCGCGGCGGCGAAGGGCTGTGTGAGGAAGGGGGAGAGGGAGGGCGATCGGTGGCCGCCGATGCCAACCCGGTGGGGGCGCCATGGCATGAAGATCCCGCCCCAATGGTGCCGGCAGGGGCAGCTAAAGGGGCGGCAGATCGGGGCGAGCGGAGGCGGGGAAGTCCCCGCGAGGCCTCGGGAGACGTAGTACGCCCCGCGGAGGCCGCGCTCGCCGATGGCAGCCCTTGAGCTGCCGCCCCCGCGGCGCGCGCCGGCCGCACCTCTCGCGCTTGGGCATGGAAAAACGCGGCCAGGCGTTGCGCCAGCTTGGCCTTAGGTTCGTTGATGTTGCCGCGCTGCCCGACGTCATGGAGGGCCTTTAAAAGTTCCGGTTTGGGGTAGGAACGGATGGCTTGGAGGCTGCGCTCCAAAATGTCGCGCTCCACCACCTCCCGGCGCGATGGCGCCTCCGATTGCCCCCCCGCGAGCGAGGTCGCTGGTGGCCCAGTGGCCGGGACGACATCGGGAGGCGCAGACACGGAGGGATCGGCGTCCGTGTCCATGGGAACCAAAACAGTGCACCGGGCCCGGTGGCCCACCGCCAGGGGGCGGCAACGCTGTGTGAGTAGGGCAACCCTACGGTGGACCTTCCTTGCCATGATTGCCAATCGCCAAATAATGTCATTTGAATGACATGGGGCGATCCTGCAGTGTTGCGAATGAGGGATGAATTGACCCACTGTGTCATAACTTAAGGACAACAGTGCGTGGATGCGCGGTTACCAGCGGTGAAGCTCAACAGAGACAGGCGTAGCACTTCCTTCTCTGATCGACTAATCCTTTGCAACGCCTTCCTGCCCTCCCTAATGCATTTTTGGTCCGTGCCAAAACTGCCAGTTATTATTTGTGTTCATGCCACCATTCAACACATACAAAATGCTTGTGCTCGGGAGCAAAGGGCTAGGCTGCAAGTTGGGCAACCGCAGTATGGACGCCTTTTGGCTGTGCTCATTTTGTATGTACCTGGGACGCGCAGGCACACGATTTGTGTGGTTTTATGCCTCAGTTTGCATCATCATACTAACTCTGTTCACGCATAGGATGTGGGAAACGATGTTTGGCACAGTAGTCGCAACATACGGAGCACAAAATTGGCCGACATAGCCTTGGCGCGCTTTGTCAAGAGCTATCCGTGGAGTCCAAGAAGGCAACAGCAGGCGCTGCTGTTCTGTCGACGATATGGCCCGGGGAGCTGTAACGCGACTTTGTCTTTTGTTGGAGCTTGGCCTGGGGAATGGCCACGTTGACATGCCCTTCGAAACAGGTAGATCAGGCACAGCTGCCAAAATTAGAGATTACCAATATAACCAAGATCTACAACAACTTAGAATCAACCAAGGAATCCAAACCTGGTGACGAATTGACTCACTGAGCAGATCTTACACGTTATGGTAAGAATTGGAAGTCAGGCACGATTTAGGAACTGAGGCAGTATTGTGAAGTACAAGACGACTGTCCAAACCCAACAGTGAGCATTGAAGAGGTTGAAGGCCACGAACTCTGCAGCGAAAAATCAGACAAACGATCTCCATATTAAGCCCTTTTTACAGGCCGCTTACTGAAATACATTCTCGTCCAATGGCCTGTGCTGGAAGTTATCCGCTGATGGGGTGCCCATGCGACAGCCCCCGGGTGTCACAGATTCTTGCACCATTAGGAGTTCATATCCAAACACTAACCATTGTGCAATGAACTGCGTTGTTGCCTGCACGCCAAGTTCAGCCCCGCCCAGGGAGCAGGGACCGCTCGCTCACACCCAATCAACTGGCACCTGATGCATGAAGCACAAACGATTTCCTTTTCAAAGATGCGAAGGCATCTACACGACAGCACTGGCAAACGGACTTGCGCTGAAGGTCACAGACATTACAAGGAAGCTAAATTCCGAAACGCAAATTTACCGTCGACTTGTTTAAATGCCACCCCATCAAACTCCCTATTGAATATGGCAATCCATCGCCACTAGCCCGCTTGTGGGGATGCTCAAACACTACACTCTTCCGCTCATGGAATCGCAGCTGATGCCAATGATCGTTGGTGACCTGCCGGTGCCATCACGAGGGCGACCCCCAGCTGCAATGTTGCATGTATGATGCGTCAACACATCAACAGTTTTTTCATGTCTGGTATGTCCATCTCGCGTTCGACACAGTCGCTTTTGCAAATACAAGCACATGCACTTCTGCCCCTATTATCTGTGGAAGCTATGTTGGCACCTTCCTCAACAAGTCGCCTGGCAACGTCAAGATTAACCCCCGCAGCGGCTACGTGCAACGGCGTCTTCCCATTCGAATCCACGGCGCTGACGTTTGCATTGCGCCTCAGCAACGCATCCACAACGTCGGTGGCCTGATACGTTGCTCCCTGGTGAAGGGGCGTCATGCCAGCAGCGTCGGGCTCATTCACATCGGCATTTGCGTCAGCAAGGGCCTCCACGGCTGCAGATCTACCGTTGGAAGCGGCGACGTACAAAGGAGTGTGCCGCCCCAAAGGTGTCTTGGCGTCGACGTCAGCCCCTGGTCCGTCCGAACAATCTTTTCAGAGTCTGTTCAGTTAAGTGCTGTTGCCGTTGCACTGACCAAACTTGATTTGAAAGGCACAGTTCCGTCAGCAAGGCGATTTCTTCAGCCCTCGGGGCGCTGCCCGCCCTCTTTCATTGATCCTCGTCCACAGTACCTTGCATGAAGTACTTTACCGTTCGTTCATGTGACATACTCCACATGCCTTTTACAAAGGGGCAAGCGTATGTGCAGGCGACATACTTGTGGGAGCGACCCACCATGGCCGAAACACGAGTTGTGGTTCGTGGTCCACGATCGTCGCAGAATGTGAGAATTGAGGGTGCGATCAATCAGTCTCTATTCGGCATTTTCATTTTGCGTTGCTATATGAATTCCGACAAAGTTATGTATCTAAGCATTTAGCATCACATTATTTCAACTGACAAATGCCACAAAAGGACCACTTGCAAATTAACTTGAGAAATAGCAGCTACCAAAACTCGGCAGCTTGGTAGTTTGATAGCTAAACTATCAGTCGATCAACAATCCCAGAATTCAGATTCCCTGCTTGGTCACAGGCGCGACTGTTGTTGGGGCTCACAGATGCCACTTCAGCACTTGATGCAAGCCATGCAAACAGCAATATTGCAAGGCATACCAAACAGGCTGCACACAGACGACGGGAGCACTATCTTGGGCCTCAAGCTATGCAAATGCAGACATGCAGGCACAGCAACCTTTCAGGTGCAAACGTCATATTCGTACACTACTTTGGCATTGAAAGAAGGCGAATACCATCGTGACCACAAATAGTAGGGCGAGACCCATTGAGACTCGCCCTTGCATTACATCTCTGTACCTTTCTCAATGAGCACATTGATGGCCTGCACGACGCCCCATCGTGCGGCAATGTGCAGTGGCGTGTGCCCCTGCTTTGTGGGGGCGTTCACGTCAGAGCCCCCCTGGATGAGGCATTCCACAACCTGGGGTTCGGTTTCCAGGTTCTCGCTGGCATAGTGCAGTAGAGTCCAGTCCGACGGAAACATCCTCAAGGTGCAGCACTCCTTGCTGTCGTTCAGACTTGCGTACACCATTGCAGGGCTGCTGTTTGGCGCTTTCAACAAATCCTTCACTTCCTAGACCAAGTGCAAAAAATGCGTGTGTATTTTGGACCATCTTGTCATTTGCGGACTACAAAATACCGTGCAGACGCCCAGCAGACAGCAATGATGTGCGGTGACATTGAAACTATGCTTTGTGACCTTGACTGGTGGGACACAGCACACACTCGATCTTAGAACACTGTGGGAATTCCAGCTGAGATGAGTATTTGTATAACTACTTATCATCAAACATTACTTAGGCACACAGCCAGTCAAGGGCATCAAGAAGTGCAGCAGCATTCAAAGCATCCAGCACATTTGGGGATGCACCATAGGCAATAATTCAGCCTGGAAAGCTTCCTGGTAAGCAACTGCCCTGGATCTGCCTGTTGTCAGTCAAACAAGCTAGACCCTCACCTCGCAATCTTTCTCCAAAGGGGGGGCTTCTCCACAGGCACCAGGGGCCAAGGGACATTTAGGAAGAGGTTCAGGATCAGAAGCTGATGAGCCGTTCCCTTGCATCACAGTGACCTATTTGTTACAAACCAACTGTGAGTGTGTGGGCACGGAGCACTGCAGGCCTTGTGTACAAGAACTGCTGCAATGCCATGGCTCAACCACTGACAAGCTTCACTGGCTCCACCTATTTTAGCATATTTCTGTGGAGAAAATGGAAGAATTACAACATTTCACAGACTCACCACAATCTCATAGGTGTTACCAGTAGCAGACACCATGTTTGTACATCCCACACTCAGATGGGAGCAAAGAACTGTGCAATTGCCAGTCCATTTTCGCTTCCATACTTGCAACAGAACCTGAACAAGTGTACAAGGTGCAATAGCTTGTCTTCAACATCATCTCCAAGCCCTGTTTTGTGCACATGTGTGGGCATGGTCTCTTTGTCACTGGGCAAGTGCAACACAATGTGCAGAGACTTTGAGAGGTGGCATCCCATACAGATTGCCCATCACCATGGGCCAGAGTTGCTGGCAAGCAAGTGTGCTTGTGTCGTGCTGCAGGAACTGAACATGAGATATACCTTTCCTATCTCATCGTTGATCCACTCACGAAAGCTGGCCACTCTGGTGTACACTCCAGGCTTGTTTGTCTCACACTTTGTGCCATTGCCAAAAGATACGATGCCCACCAGACGATCTTCAGTGGCTGTCCCATCATTCCCATTTCCTCCAGGAGCATGGGGCAACAGCAGGGGGCCTCCACTGTCGCCTGAGGAGCAAAGGCAGGATGGTCAACATTGGTTTGGCAAGCAAGACCTATTGTGGGTTTGAGCAAGTGTGAAGGCAAATTTGTGATTGATGCTAAGCTTCAAAAGCTATCCGCTCTGGCAAAAACCTGCTCCATTCTGCACAAGACAAATGGATGAACTCAGCTGTGACACCATCACCACTTGGATTGAATCAATATTCTTGAGCTCGACAACCTTTGGGGGCTGTGGTTCGATCTGGGGCACGCAGTCCAGATCAGAATGGTGTCCATCCGCTCACCAGACCAGATTCTGAAGCACAACAACACTTGTATGGAGCTTCAAAAATGTCAGCCAAATGCAAGCGACAAAAGTCGAGCCAACTGCATAGGACAGGCAAACCAGCAGTTGGTGTTCTGCATTTATATCCTCCACACCCACTACTGCTTCAATGCCTGGAGCGCTGTACTGGTGCAAACCTTGTGTTCTCTGGGAACACTGCTCTTGAGAGCAACTTCTTCACAATCGTCCTGACAAGAACAACTATAGGCTGTGCAGCTGTCTCTGGTATGAGATCCCAGTGGTATTGCAAATGCAGCAGCAGACATGAGCAAATTTCTAGCTTGACACTTTCTCCACACTGATGGGCATATAATGATGTGACCAGCGAATTGTCATGAACAATGCAGCCTTTGATACGCACGGCAACTACAGTAATGGCTCTACAGCAGCCACAACGAGATTCACTATCTCACCATCGCAGACACTCGGGCCACCATCCATGCACAACATGGTGTCCTGGATGACAACATCAGGTGCCCAGGCTTCACGGCAGCGTTCTGGGGGGGAAAACTGCATTTGAGTGGTATGTTGGAGGTGGCTGCGTCCTGAGACCTTCATTCCCTGGTCCCCCCAGCCCGCAGTCACGAACAGCGTGCAATCACCAAATTCAGTGTCATCTGCTAATTCAACAGGGCGGATATTTGATTGTCTGTCAAGCTTGATGAGTGCGATGTCATTCCCGTAACGTACATGGCCCATCCAATTGGGATGAATTTTGATGCCCATATCTGCTGGTTGTATATATTCCTACAAAACCATACCACAAAAATCAGCAGAAGTTCTGAACTGCAGGCTCAGACCCAATACTGGCAACAGTGGAATTCTGGTGGTGGGTGCCACAATCTTGCCCAATCTTTTCTGATACTTCCTCCATCCCAAATTAATTGTCGTCTGTTTGAAAGGCTAAATTTGTTATAAAGACAACCTCAGAATTTCAAAACAAGGTCAAAATCGAAAAGATTGTATTTCAAAACCCTTGACTTCCAATTTTCAAGAAGGAAAAGTGAGACATGACCCTTTTGATCACAAGAAGAAGGTAATTTTGGTCATTTTCGACCCCAAATATTGAGATTTATTATGTAAAAAGACCCTTGATACAAAGTACTGCCAAATACTCAATACTTAATGGATTGACTTGAAATTTTTATGGTGTACTCCCAACTCAAAAAGACAACCGTAAGCGAAATTTTATTAAAAACAGGTGCGAGCATGATGGAGAAATAATGCCCCAAAATCATGAACGACAATTAATCTGGGACGGAGGAAGTGCAATGCTGTCGATCAAGCAAGGCGGCCATGAACACACAAGTACAGTTGTGGACATCACTGCAATAACGTTTTTCTTTGCTTATGTAGCATGTTTGCAATGGAGTGGACAAAAAGCATGTACACCCCTTTCTCATGTTTGTATTTGTATCCCTTGTTCAGCACACAGGGGAGTCGTACACCAGTCCATTGAGAAGACCTGCTGCAACCTCTTTCACAACCACACTGAGAATTCAATGGAATCTAACATGCACTCTGATAATCTCAGGCACCATCTTCATTGGCAATCAAGTGCAGCTGTAGCTGTGCAACACGGCTCTCAATTCTCAGGTTGCATCTTGTTGATTTAAGTGACAAACACAACCACTGATATGATAATTTGTTGCTGAACAGCTGCACATTCTGGCACACTGTGGACTTATGGCAACAGTGCAAAACTGTCGGCGCTCAAATTTTGTGCTCTTTCACATGTTGATCACCACTGCAACGACATACCTCCACTCCATCTGCTTCCCTGTCACTGAGATTACAAGCCCCAACGACAATTTTGGGAATTCCCATCGAGTCCACACAATGCGCGGCTGTCAATATCCACTCAGGGTCAATCAATACTCCTCCGCACTTGTGCATATCCATCCGATTCTGGATAGATGCCATGAATGGATACCTGCCACATGGAGCATCGTCTCCCTGCAGCATGTGCCCAAGTCCTAGTTTCAGCACTTGAGTTGTCAGTTGCATTGTTCCCAGAGCAGGACTGCCAATGCGATCTGTGGGGTGCATGGCCACTGAAATTGCTGCATGCTATGCAAGCGGCATCATACTGCCTGTTTGCATCCTTCAGCAACACAGCGAGGTGCCAGTGGATACCCCAAAACTCTTTTGTGACAAGAGTACTGAGTGCATTGTGCAGCAAACAGCAAATGGCAGCCCATGCCATATCAGGCTGCTTTCCTGCAGCAGCAATTTTAAACTGCACATATTGACCAGGTCAACAGATGACAGTAAAGTTTAGCAGGCAACATTCAACAAGTCATGCTGGTGGGCCAAGTTTCTTTAAAAATGGGGACAGTTCTTGTTGAACAAATGTTTGTAACATTGACAAGCCATACACACAACACAGACAGCGTGCAGGGCATGGTACTGCCCACAGAGTGGGATGAGGCACATAGATAGGTGATGTGGTGTTCGTGTCGGCGATGTTCGCAACACAATCCATAATGTGGGAAAGAGTTACATTTCCCTTTTTTGGAACTGCTGCCATCTGAAGAATGCGGCCGTAGCAATAATTCATACTTGCAGCACAAAGCATTGGGGGATACAGACTGCTTACATCTATTATCAATTCGACAGCGCAGCTTTGCTGCAGCAGTCTACTGCCCCCTGCTTGCCTTCCAAACTCGGAATCAAGGTGCATACCTGCCAGCAAGCACATCATACATCAGCATGTTCAGACAGACCCCAAAAGGGCTGTGGTCTCCCACATCAAATTTTCAGTGCATGGCACTCACCAGGCGGGTTTGAATGTGTAGACTGGATTTCAGGAGATTACATGCACCTTATCCACATGGTTTAGTATCTGTATGCATGGGCCCAAATAAGGTGAGTCGAAGCGATGGATATCACTGCTGGGCCAGCGATCCAATACATACAATGTATGCCGAAGTGTTTGCAACTTCAGGGAAGGCTGGGTACGTATGGTGCTTGTTCATTGCACCATGGACGATGTAAAATCGTCCACCAATGATGGGGTAAATGCTCTGACAGGAGCCACACCAACTCCCTGACAGAATTGCCAAGGAGCAAAACGGCCAGAAAAGGTGGGCACTGTCCGCAGATTGAAAAACTTTTCATGCGGTACTGCCTGGGCAGTGGGGGAGAGTCCGGGACACTGCTCCCAGTGCACGGTGTCCTGGGTGTCCAGTTAGCTATTAAGTTTTAGTTTGTTAAAAATGTTTGATTTTAGTTGAGCTTTTTTAGTTTTTAGGTTTAGTTGTGTCGGGGTATAGTGGTTTTCTTTCTCTGGTTTTGGGCACCAGCGGTGCTGTGTACTGGAAACGCTGCCAGGCCGGTGCCTCACCCTGCCCGCACAGTGCCGCATGCAAAAATCCTTTTGGCTTTTGTGGCTTCTCGAATCAGGCCCGCTCGCAACCTGGGTGGCCTTCTTCCCTCATCCACTTCCCACCCACCGGCTCATCGCCTGCTCCCAGGATTCTCTGCCCATGCAGCACCCAAATTGCCAACAGCACAGCAGATAGGCCACGCAGCCCAAGAAACCTCTGGTCCGCCCCTGGCGTATTGCCCCACTGGCGCGGCGCACCAGTCCAGGCGAACTGCGTCCACCCCAGGCCTCTGCGCCTGTGCGTGCCGCCGGCTCCCAAGCAGCTTCAAGGGGCTGTCCCAACTGTCACATTCGGGGCAAACTCCCAAGCACACTGAACCCAAGCCCACCCCCCCACGCGGCCGCGAGTTGAGCTCTGACGCGGGGCCGCGATCGGAGCGCTTTCCCACGCCCAGAACCAATCGGTGGCAATCAAGAAATTTTCTCGCTCCATCAAGCACCAGGCCGGGAGTGCAGTGGGAGAATGCGGCCTGCCTGGAAGCTCTCGCGGGGCAAGTTTGTCGCAGTCGGACGACGGGGCCCGGTTGCCGGGCGCGGGGTCCCTACCATTTTCGGCGACGTCCCCAATAGAGTTGTTCGGGGTTT